TATTAAATAATAATAAATTGTTGTTAAGAAAAATAATAACCTATCGATATTGATAATTTATAATTTACAGTGCGACTACTTATAACAGGGTCCACTTAGAAAGCGAGAACCAATCAAATTGTGGAATGAAAACAATACATTCCAGCTTTGGATAATGGAGTTAATCAGAAAACACAATAGCCTTTCAACATATCTTTTTATTCCCACGAGAAAATGACAATGGCTATCTAGTTGTTTACACGTAACAACAGGGTCAAAATACCATTTTTGTGCAGTGTAGGTTTCTGATTGGCTCGTCTACACAAAGCTCGAATGTATTGTTTTCATTCTACATTTTAATTGATTCTCTTGTCTAACCGGTTATAGTAATTGCACTGTAGCAATAGATATCATCATCATTATCATCATCATCATATTATTATTATTATTATTATCATCATTCACAATATTTCATTAATACAGGGACATATTGAAGAAATAGAAAACGCGCGCGCGTGCCGTGTGCAGTTATAAAGCGCGCGGGGGTTGGCAGAACACGAGAGCAGTGTTCTGCCAATCCCCAAAGTGGTTTATAATTATAACTCAACACAGCACATGAACCAAGTTTTTTATTTCTTTTATGAGATGCAAACGGCGCGTGCTTGCTGCGTGCTCTCATAAAGCACGCGCTCCCAACCAATCTGGATGCGAGATTTATAGTAGTTACATTATTACTGATGATAAATACAGATTAAATAATGGAATAATGATAACGATGATAGTTTATATACGTTAATAAATACATATAAGTAAGAAACGATAAAGATCATTATAATTATTATAAATAATAATATTAATTTGGATATGAATATGAATATGTTATATTGATTTCAATATTGAAATAATCTAATTTTAAAAAAGATTAAGTATTTTGTCTTGAATGCGTCAATTGGTTTCAAAATGATAACGACGATAATAACGTTTTCAATATATATAGTAGTCCGGCAGAATAAATATGGCCCTTCAAAGAGTTAGGCCTAAAAGTCGGACTGTGTTTATGGAGTTTTCCTGGAAGGGCAGTTGAATAAAGAAACACTTATTTTTTTATTGAAAGGTAGAGATGGTCGTGACGGTAAAGATGGTCGTGATGGGAGAGATGGCTCTCCAGGACTGATAGGTAAGTCATTAACTTATCATGAAAGTATGTTCTCTTCAAATAACTTGGTGAATTATATTAAAATATTACGACATTATATTAAAAAGAGGGATTTCTTCAGGTCCTCCAGGTTTGAAAGGAGAGCAAGGGCAGCAAGGTGTAAAAGGTCCTCCAGGACCCAAGAGTGGTGGAGTACAGTACGTACGATGGGGAAGAACCACCTGCCATTACAATGCTACTCTTGTTTACAAAGGTAAAGTAAAGAATACACCATTATGATTTACTTTAGCAAGCGTTGAACATTTCAATCCAACGAATTATAACTATAACTAATTGGTGTGACTTCTAGGACGTATTGGAGGAGAAGAATATACTCATACAGGTGGAGGTGCTAATTACGTTTGTCTTCCTGAGACCCCAAAATATGGAAGGTATGAAGCTAGTGACGCAGACGGTGCATACATGTAAGGTACAGAATACCAGGTTAGCAGTAACAGCCCATTTAACACAAAAAATCTTCATGATCACGATGCCCCGGGCGCTGTGTGTTACGTTACAACACGAAGCGTCAAGATGATGATCCCTGCAACTTACGAGTGTCCCGCGGGATGGACACGGGAGTACCATGGATACCTGATGGCTCAGCATTATGGTTACGTAAAATCCGATTTCATTTGTGTTGATGAGGATGCCGAGGTTGTACCAGGAAGTCATGCCAATGTCAATGGTGCCCTGTTGTATCCCGTGGAAGGAAGGTGTGGTGCCCTACCTTGTCTTCCATATGTTGAAGGAAGAGAACTGACATGCGCAGTGTGTATTAAGTAGCTTTAGGCTTTTGTCGATGTTTCGTTTTTATTTGCACGATAAAACGCGAACAATAATTATAAACATTAAATAAGCAAGTAAGCTACTCTAGATTTCACAGGAAAATATATCGTCTTTCTTCTAGAAGTTTGAATCTTAAAGGTTCTTTGATGAAATATTTTTACAACTGGAAGCAATATGACTGAATGTCACAATGTTTTCATTCATATAGATTAACTGAGGATGATTGATAATTAATTTGAAATATAGAAAGAACTAGTAATAGCTTATCAGCATGGAACAACTGGAATTGAGGGGAAACAATACACGTTAATTGGAACAAGGTTTTTTCCCTACATTTTCACAATTAAAAAATGACTTATTAATATTAAAATTTTTATTCTTTTATTTTTTTATTTATTTATTTTTTATTTATCAATTGAGAAGGTTTTCTATCAAGTGTTGCTCATTATAAATGCGAGGTCGATATTTATTAACCGGGTTAATACCTTACTATATATTGACCTCGCATTTATAATGAGGGTTATGACAAAAATAAAGCCTCGTAAATAACAAAGAAAACCGTGTCAATTGAGAAATAATCCGTATTATGGACACGCAAAATCAGAATTCATTTGTGTTGATGAGGATGCAGAGGCCCTTCCAGGGTCAAAAGCTGATATCCACCAGGCCCTGTTGTATCCTGTAGAAGGGAGGTGTGGTTCCCTGCCTAGTCTTCCATTTATTGAGGGACGAGAACTGACATGTGCAGTCTGTACTAGTTTGAAGTGTTTATGCTCACATCACGCACATCCTAAGTACCCGGAATATCTTGTCATCTGACTTAGCGTAGAAACAAAAAATCATTATTTTCCACCTTTAAAGTTCATCCGTTGTTTTTAATTTCATATTTTTACGCTAGGGTCAATTACACTTCATTTCACAGGCTGGTTAAAGGGATAGTAAGTATTCATTAATGAAAGCCTATAGTTAGCAACAAAAATAGCTTATCACCATAGAACAACTGGATTGAAGACGTATAATACTTTGAAGCAACAGACTTTAGGTATCATATTGACAAAACACCTTGTCAATTAGAGCATAATGAATACCAATCAAATCGTAAAAGATGCTTCGAGCGGAATTTAGGGAATTTTTTTGTGGATCAGTCTAAAGGCGAGACATATTGAAGTCGCATACTTATTGCACAGTAAATTTTTTGCTCTGACTGGCGAACTTTAAGTTTTAAACCCCGACAAGTTGAAAACTAGTTTACGTTTAAGTTCTTGGTCACTTCTCGATCGACTCGCCTGCAGATTGAAAAATAAGAGATTTTTTCAATGCTTTTTTCCCCCCATGAAACTATTTGGACCAGAATGTCTGTATCGTCATATGTTAAAAGAATGTGCTTTAAAACTGTACTGTTTGTAACAGTGAATGTTCTTTTGTTTTGCGCTATACGAGCAACTGATTTGCAGCGACAAAATGGGAAGAAAAATGTTGCTGATCCAACGAAAGTTCCTCCCACTTTAGCTGATATGTTCAAGCTGCTGACCAATCTTGAAAAATGGTGCGTTAACTATATGTCCTAAAAGAATTATTTTTCCCATCAGTTATCAAACATGAAAGTTTGCAATGCAAGTATTTTTGCCATTCACTGGTTACCAAATGGATTCTGTTTGGAACAAGACAAAAGTTAGAACAATCTAATGACATTAAAGTGGAACTTCATGAAAAAAACATTGCTAGAGTATCAATCTTTTGTTATTTAGGAGTTACTTTAGATGAACACCTTTCATGGGAGGAACATAGTGATTTCATATGTAGTAAAGTAAAGAAACGTATTATTCTCTTGGCCCGTATAAGGCCTTATATCACTCTTAAAGCTGCCAAATATGTATACAATTGTATATAATACATCCAGTCTTCACCTATGCGGACACGGTATGGGCCGTGAATTATCTGTTGGCTGTAGTAAGAACTTACAGCGTCTTCAAAATAGAGCAGCACGCGTAGTTACAAAAAGAGACACAACAGACGAGGCTTTTCAGATTTTAAATTGGTTTAATTTAGAAAATCATAGAAAAATTAATAAATGAGTTTTAGTTTATAAGTCCAGAATATTCATGTAATTACTTCATTCTCAATCGGAATACTCATAGCTATAATACAAGGCAGAGAAATAATAAGCATATACCAAATTGCAAATTAACACTAGGTCAGAAAACATTTAGATTTTCAGGCTCTGCTCTTTTTGATAAGTTACTATCAAACATGATCAATAATGCTACATCTTTTGATAATATTAAGAAACTTTTAACACATTTTCATAACAATGTTTTTTAGCTTTTACAAATTTTTCTTCTATTTTTTAACTTAGTTATTATTTAATTAAATTAGTCTTTTAACTTGTTTAGAGTAGGGTGTAACTTATAATTGTAAATATATATTAATAACTTTTTTCTATTGTAATCCGGATAATTAGAAGCAGGGTCCCTAAATAAAGTTTACCTTAACCTTAACCTTAACAAGCATTTCACTCCTAAGTCATTAATAGGTCTTAAATTTTCACGAAAAACAAACGAAATGATATCATTTTTTTTCTAGAATAAATCACATTGAATTAAAGCGAGTTATGGTGCTGAGAGGTGAGTCAATGTTAAAACTTGATTTTCGAGGGGGAAGGGAAAAACATTACTAAATATTTTTTTTTGATACCTGATTGTTTTTTTCATTAGGCAGAGATGGTTATGATGGCCAACCAGGAAAACCAGGTAAAATCTTCAGAAACCACGGTGTTGTACGGTAAAACTTTTAGCTGAAACTTGCAGGAAACAGTAAAGACACTAGCTTTGTCAAAAATTAGAACTATTTTCTTACAACGTAATACGGTGTCAAATATGACAAGTTAATTCGTAAATGGAGTAGTTTACATGCCTTTTAGAGTAAAACACGTTTTTATTTGCTATTTATCAATTTAGGCAGAGATGGTCTTAACGGCAAAGATGGTCGCGATGGTAAAGATGGTCGAGATGGGAAAGACGGGTCATCAGGAACAACTGATTAGTTATCAGCTTATTTTATCGCGCATGATTCCGTGTTTTGGTTTTCAACGTAATAATCATACAAATAAAGTAAGTTTGAAAGGAGAGCCAGGAAATCTTATTAATTTAATTAAGCATTACTTCTTGAATCGTTTTGAGATTAGGTCCACCAGGATTGAAAGGAGAGTCAGGAAATCCTGGTGTGAGAGGTCCACCAGGACCCAAGAGTGGTGGAGTACAGTACGTACGATGGGGAAGAACCACCTGCCCTTATAATGCTACTCTTGTTTATAAAGGTAAAAAAGGAATACATAACTTTTTGAGACTGCTTTTCTCCTGGCTCTATACGAAAATATATGAAAATTTGTGCAGATCATATTCTTTAAATACTTATCGTGAATGGCTAATCTGTAAGAAAATTTGTTTGGGTGTCCTTGGTTGGTATAGTCACTGTAACGTTAATTGGTTTATTTACTGACGTGGTTTTGCGCGAAAAATGAATTTCCTTTACCTGAAATATCCTGATAAAAATTCCTTGCTGATGGTTTTAGGAAGCGTTGGAGGTTCGCACTATTCTCATAAGGCTGGAGGTGCTAATTACGTTTGTCTTCCTGATACTCCAAAATATAGAAAGTACAAAGATGGTGTCCAAAGCAGTCGTGGATACATGTACGACACCGAATATCAAGACGCCCAATCCCAACTTTTTACTAATAAGAATCTTGAGCACCATGACGTCCCATGCGCTGTGTGTTATGTTAAAGCCAGAAGTGCCAAACTGATAATTCCAGCGACTTACGAGTGTCCCGCGGGATGGAAACGCGAATACCATGGGTATCTGATGTCTGAGGATTATGCTCATTCACATCCAAGCGAATATATTGACATTGATGCCGAAGCTGTTCCAGGCACGAAAGTCGACGTAAATGGTGCCCTGTTGTATCACGTAGAAGGTGTGTGTGGATCTCTGCCTTGTCCTCCATATGTTGAGGGAAGAGAACTGACATGCGCAGTATGTACCAAGTAATACGAAAAAGAACTCGGCAATCTCCTTTGGTCAATATTGATTATAGGCTTTTCATTGGTTTGATAGTATACAATAAGTTAAGTCACCATAAATTATGCACCATTGAGAAAAGCGATAAGGCTGATTTTTCACTAATAAAATAAACTCATATTCTCACTTTTTTCATGCTGTAAGACCTTTTTTAGCTCTTGCAGTAAGAAAGTTGTATTCAGTGTTAAATTATAGCATCTTTAGGTTTATAGTAATCGGTTTTAGTAATAGGTTTATGCGCGATTATACCATCCCACTTAGGAATTTTGAACACAACTCACCACCAGCCACCCCACGGGCTATTTTTGTTCTTTGAAGATTCTTCGACAAAGTTTTCCATGGCCGACATTTTTAAGCTTTGAATTTCTGTTTAATTTTACTTT